ATGCTATTCAAACTAACCTAAAAAGTTTTATCCTGCTAATTCAGTTTTTTAAGAAAACGTGAAACAACCTAAACTAGGATAAATAGCGCCAATAAATAAACAACACTTTCGTTATAAATTTCAAACATATACTACATTCATCATTTTTTTGTGCTGAATTCATTTATGTAAAGAAAACTTCCTTTGCATTTAAAATTTTTGACAAAAATCCGTTAAACGGCATTCTTTTGAAATAACGCCATCTACAGGTTTCCATATTGAGGTAAATGACATTACTCATTCACCACGAGATAAAGCATGAAAAGACCTTTCCAACGAGGTATAACACTATGGGCTTTTGACGAGCCAGTCCTTAAAAAAGTGCATTTTTTTATAAAATATTTTTTTCCGAAGCTCTAGGGCCTATACTTTCTCTAATATCGTACCTCGCCGACCTTAGTAGGACACCCTGTATAGAGCTAACGGGATGAAAAGTAACAAGTGAACTAGAGGAAAATTTTGAAAGCAAAATTTCTGGAACATATTTTTTTATTAGTGAGAATAACTTATGCGTAAGGTGTAATCGTCCTCTTTTTTTATTTGGTTTACGAGACCCCTCCCTCATTTTTTTTTATCTCGATTTGGAATTCGGTCGATTCGTTGTTACGAAATTGAAATTGACTTCAAAAGAAATTTCTCACGCGTCGAGTACCAAAACATATATATTCAGCAAGTTCGTTATTATGAGGGAAACAATTTTAAATTTGGATTACATCTATACTTTTTTTTTATTTAATATTTTTATTTCAATTTTCAATTATTACAAAAAATTAAAAGCAATTATATAAATACAAATTACAAATATTACAATTGCTACAAATTTTAAAATTTACAAAATACAGTGTAAATGAAATTACAAATCTATACAAAAACATAAGAAAATTAACAAAATGATTGTCATTTTGGATATCACTTCTCTATTAGTTTGGGGAGATTAGATTAAACGCGAGAGTTTTGGAATAATGTTCCCCTAAATCAGCCTCATGACGCTATAAATTAAATATAATTTATAATTATTAAAAAGGTAATTTGTAACAATGAAAAATTTCTAAACATTCGGTCTAATCGATTTGCGAAGAAATTTCTACGCCCGCGCATATTTTCCAACGGTAGCAGTCCTAAATTCGAGTTTATTTATGGTTTCTTTCTGATTTATTTTTCAAATGCAAAAATAGTTTGCGTAGGACCGATGCAATGGTGTTGTGTCAACAACTGAACGTTTATTTGCTATGGTTATACAGCTGTGCGGTGTTTTACGGACTTTTTATTGGCGTTGTAAAAGAAATTTATAAGTACTTTACGAAGCTTCCAGCTGAAAATATTACATAAAAGGACATTCAAATCCCAAATATGATTTTTTATGTTGTCACTGGCACCTTCGCCATTTTCTCGAAAATATTTTAACCGAAAACTTAAATTAATAAACTGAGTCGTTTTTATGGAAAAAAGTTGTAAAATATTTACACTTCTCACTTCAGTTATAGCGAGCCTATAATAACGATTTTATAGTTGAAGAACAGAAACAATATCAAATTATTTATGGGAAGCTAGGAACACTAACAACTCTGTAAGTTTGATTAAAAAAATCAAAATTTCATTAAGAAAAGTTGACTAGAATCAAATGTTGTACCCAAGTAACAATTTTAAAGACAATTGCAAAAAATTATTGAACATTTTTTTTTATCTAAGTGATTTTGTTTTATAGAGTATGTGAGAAACATTCTTGAATCAAGAACATATTAATTTAGACATATTTGTGATAAAGTATCATTTTATTAAAGTCAAGTTTATATACTAGGTGATGCATGTGTGTGGAATCTCGGTTATTATAAGTGATAGAAAACCGGTTAAATGTAAATAGATTGAAACCATTTTCGAGGTAGCAATTTTAAGCAAAAAATTTTAGAGCACAATGAAACATTTTGCAAAAAGTTGCTGTAGTTTCACGGATTTAAAAAAATTGTAGAAACGAAAAAACTTTGCCGTCAAAATAACCCACTCCGCATAAGCAAATAAAAATTCATGTATTTGTATACTCGCATGTATCTCTAAGCTTATTATAATCTTGGACCTAAAAAAAGGTTTTGAGATAAATAAATAAATCTCTACAAAAGAAAAATTGCTTAAATCGAAATTATAATATTTTTAAGTAAGTAAAAAAAATACATTTTAGTTTTGCTGTAGTCTGTAATAGTAATTAGGAAAGTCGAAATAATATAATGAAGATTCCTTCAAAAATAAACTTTTTTAGGCAGTGTTCAAAAATTAGTCAAATCTTTAATTTGCATTCAATTGCATTATAAAAAGCTACTGAGGTATTTTTTATTTAATTGAGTTTTTGCCACAATGGACAGAAAAAAGAGAATATTTAAAGATATTTAAACATTTTAAAGAAATTACTCTTTGCCCAAAAAAGTGACAAGTAAGGGTTGATTTGATATGCCTACTATACCTACTTATTTAGCAAAATCGTAACCAAATATATTTCACATTGAGGATTTAAATAATTATTATTTGTTTGGAACACGATATCTGAGACAGTTTTTGGAAACGTTAATTTACTTAATGTCTAATTGTATCTGATTAGGTAAAATAGGGTTATAAAGTTAATCTTTTCATTGATTTTTTGAGCGAGAAGATAGTTATAAAAAAAAATTAATAATTTAATTCTCTTTTCCTTTTCAGTACGGTACCCACTTAATTGAAAAAAGCAGTACTAAAAAGTGTTAACAAATAAATAATTAAATGCAATACAGAGGCAAGCATAATGATTATATGTTTTTTACATATTGTTTATAACTTCAGTATTTTAAATAGTATTTTTAATTTTTTATCCAAATTCATCCAATTATGTTAAATAAACCTGGTTCTGTAATATGTAAAGAGCAAGGGTAGGTACTTACCTCACTAGAGTCTTATGAAGCAGTCGATTGCAATGTAAAGTTTTACTGTTTATCAAATAATAAATTGAATGGTTCATTTTTTCAAGCGATATTGTCTTATTTAAACTACTGAATTTTAGTAGCAAAGATCTTTCCTTATAAACACGAGATCACTTTTACATATTCAATTATTTAAATACAATTTTGCGATATCGACTCCTATAAAGTGACTTGAAAGATTTCTTTTAAGTTTTTTGAAATGCCAGGTTTCAAAAGATGAACAGAACTGTTTGACAATTTACGATATCTATATCTCGACACATATTTAATACTTAAAAAATCCTGCACCTACTTTCTGCCGAAAAACACAGTTATCAATGTTCGTCTATACACCATACTTTTTTCTATAAAACCGGATTGATATAGGTACATTACTATACTATGAAGTGACCCATATTGTAATTAAATCTATTTTTCCGATAAATATTTGTAATTATTTTATATGCTGCTCATTTTTCTTTATTGGTTAAATAGTTTTTTCCCTATATCTAAATAGATTTTAATATGGAGCACTGTATGTAAAATAATAGATTTCATTGATTAAGAAATCCTAATTCGTTTCTTTTTGAAAACAGGCATGTTGTTGTCATACTCTGTAATATCGTTTTCAATACAAAAATAGGATTTTTGCTATTTTTGTTCAAGGCAAATGTTTGTATTCCGAGAAAATAATATTTAGGATACGTTTTATTAAATACTCAAACGATTTTTGAAAGACGTAAGCAATCTTGGTATTTTAGTTATTTCCTGTACTTAAAAACAAATTTAAATATTAATAATATAAAATTTTGTGAATCTTGATGAACTAAATTTAATGTCAAAAACAAAGTGCCCTGAATGTACACATTACCTTTTATTTAAGTAAATGAAGCTAACAGAATTTTTTTTTAAATAAAATTTTCATATGTAATACGTGAAAATATGCTTGAATTCAGTACTTATGTGTTTACATTTTGTACATGCATAAGAAGTCTATTTATTTCCTCTGTGAATTAAAAGTTATTTTTAACTTATACTTATGTGTTATGTTCTTCTGTGATATGACATAAAATAACAGGCATTTTCTAAAGTCCGGGTTTTAAGGATGTTTAAATTTCTTATAATCTTATATGATACCGTAATGAATTTGATTTTAATTTGCAATTAAATTCTAAAATTGTATTTTCAAAACTAATGAGAATTATTGAGAAAAAACAGTAAGCATAGGCAATTGTTTATAATGTAATACCTTTCTCAAAAATTGGAGAAGGTTTTCCAAAAATTTTTAACTCGTTTACATGCAGATAGAAAACTTTACCAAAATTATAAATTTGCTACTTTCCAAATAGATACGTTTCAAGACGACAAACAAAATGTTACAAGAAAATTTTCTCTATTTCTTATTCTAACCTGTGTTCTTATTCCTTAACTTTACATTAAAGGAATCGTTTCAATGTACAACGAAAATGCTGTTATATAATACAGTTGATTAGTTGTGATTTTTACAAAAGTTAGTAGTGCTACTAAACACAATTTTGAATTGCTAGTAACAGAGACGTGTACATACATTGAGCAAAAGTGTATAATTTGTGATATAAATTACTGTTATGTTAGAAGGGGTCATGTGAATTGGGGTGGATCATACATATGTATTCATTAAATAATTATTTTAGCAGAAGTTATTAGGAAAGTAATAAGTAACGACGTTTCTGCTTTCACTAAGCTTTATTTTTGTTAAAACGTCAGTTTAGGCTTTTTTTTAACGGAGACCGGAATTTGTATTTCAGAATTATCTTTTCAACTTTGTGGAGTAATATAGACAGAACAGAATACATTATTTGTGCAATTAAAAAAAATCGAACAAGACAGAAGTACCGTATACAAAACAAGTCATTTTGTTTATATGAAATAGACCCACCTCATTCAAAATTCCCCTGTATACATACAATGTGCAGTTAGTACTTACCCAAAAGCCACAACTAAAGAGAATCTATGTATTGAAAAAAGGAAAGGATAGGTGCCCAACATAAGTAAAAAGTGTAAATGCAGAAAAGCTTTAATATCCAATATAACAGACACAATAAATAAATAAATATAATAATAAAAGTCAGTAACAAATATAAATTTATACACATATACTCTAAACACTAGTACATAATGACCAGAATGAGTTTGATAAAGGCTTTAACCTTAATGTATTAAAATAACAAGAAACACTTTGATACAGCTTAGTATTTTCGTAATAAAATATCTGAAACGTTGAAGCGGGAAAAACTAACACTACGTGATTCATGTCACAAATTTGTTATAGCAATAAGGCACTTCGGAGTCGATAATTGAAAAATTGAAATGAAAAGTACGTACAGATAACTGCTTATACATTGGCAGTGCACAAAACTATTTTGTTAGACCACCACCATCTTATTTTATATATTGGGATCGGCGCTCACCTGGTACTTGAAGAGTTGCAGTTGTATTTGCCGTGCCCACAGGATTCGTCGCAGTGCAGGAATAGGTTCCTGCGTCCTCTGAAAAAGGAACTGAGTTAGATAAGGACTTCTAGGCTTGCTGTAAACTTTGACAAAAGAAAGTAAATAGATATATTATCTAGAAGAAAATATCAACATTTATGGCGATATTAAAAAGACTAAATGAATAGCTCATTATATGAAGCAGTCAGGTCTACATCATGCCATCGAGCGGTTATGGATTCTCTTGCCACCTGGTCAATTTAATTTGTTTCGGTCTTGGCTAATCGTTCTCAATACATCACCTATAATAGAGACAAGGTCTGATTTTGAAGGATTTTCATGATATTAAGGTTTTAAGATCCATATTGCTCTCTTGTTTGGAGCCCTTATTATGAAAATCAAGTTAGATCGATCGAGAAAATTTCTAAACTGACTTCTTACGTAATCAGTTTGGTCTTAACTCGTTAGATTTTAGGAGACATCGACTGTCCAGAAATTCTTAACCAAATTTATTTTCTAGTTTTTAGAATGTCAAATCGTTCTTGGTCTACCTTTCATACTCCTATAGCTAGATTGTCAGGATATTTAATAACAATAATTTGTAATAGGTGTGACAATTCCAACTGATATTTCTTACAGAGCTTTTTGATGCAACTAACAACAGGTTTATTTAATTGTTAGTATATCTAATGGTAGTGAGTAGAATATTTTCATGAATTTTTTTTGTCCTTTTTTTTGAGTAATGCTGTGCTCTTAGTGCATTTTTTTCTTTTCTTCAGTTTAATACTTGTATTGGATTGTCCTGTAATTGGTTATACTGTTGGACAAATAAAGTATTATTATTATTACTTATTGTACCAAAATTAAACTGAAGCATGCGTTGTCTACTCTTTACGTCAGATTATCATTGTATAAAGAATATGTCAATTTCAAGAATGACTATCTACTAAAAATGAATATCGAAGTTTTAGTAATTTGATAAATATGTAATAACATAATTTTACTGACATTTTCTTCATTTTGTAGATTCAACTTGTCATGTTATAAGGTTTAACTTTTGAACTTTACCTCTAATTTTAACAGTTACTGAATATCAAATTTATGATATTTTTGCGAAATATTCGTACTTAATTATTGATTTTTATATTTTTTGGATTTTTGCAAAATATGTCCCAGGCGACTTCAGTAATTCGAGTGAACTTAAGGATTTTGAACAGTATTTAAAATGTCACACCTATGTTAATTTTAAAAAGACGTTGGCTGCTTTACCAGTGGTGTGGATACAGGTTGAGACAAACAATTTCGTTATGTAGGAAACTTAATGTCATCATCTTTTTCATAATATTCATAAACTTTAAGTCGATTGGAGATTTAACTCGTATCACTTTTTGCCATATTTTCGAATGAAGATTCTCCCCACAAACTATGATACACGTAAAATATTTCTTTTTTCTTCAAATATTATGTTATTTAAATTAAGAGATGTTTCTTAATTTTCAAGCAAACAATACAATTTAGTCTCATTGTGTGTTTATTTATAATATGTAATTACAAAGCAGCTATAATTCTGATTTTAACATTTGCCAAATATACAAGTACATACAATTTACTGCAGTTTTCTCATATTTTTGGAAATTATAAAATTGGCTTTATTTATTATCATGTTCGTCCTTGTAGAACTTTGGGATTATAATATTTACGTTTTATTGCCAGATTAGAATGTTCATATTAATATGCGTATTAAAATGTCTTGTAACTGAAATATTTTGAAACACTTAGCAAAGCAGAATCCGGCTCTACAAATTTTTTGGACAATTTTATATTTTGGGATAAATGCTGGGCTGCTATTTTGAAATTATGTTTTTAAATTCTGATTCAGGGGAATTCTTGTAAAATTTCAGTAGATTAAAAGGTTTCTGAAAAATATAAAAACGTCCAAGTGAAGTAAATACAGGTGCTAACTGAATGTCAGTCTTACCTTACGGCAAAAAATATGTCTTAATTGTGAAATTACTACAAAACAAAGTGTTTTTGGCATATATAGGGTGTCCCAGTACTTGATACAAGAAAGTCGAGCACAAATAAGTTTCTCTTACATCAAAAACAAGCTCTAAAATTCTGCAGCCAAAAGTACGTCTGAAACATTTTTTTCGGTTCATCGGATAGATGGCGTAAATATGCATGGTGCTTGGGTAAATATGTTCGAATACCAAGTTCAATTGTAACAAGAGATATAATGAAATTTTTATTGCACTTCTTATAGCTTTAGTGCAAAATAATTACATTAACGTATGCCATGATTGCAGACCATTTTTGTAAATATATTTTTTTATTTCTAGTGTAGGTTCATACATATAAAACACATATTTTTTTATTGTTGAGATATCCTAAGCAACCCGAATGTCAGGCATATTGTATTCCTAGTACTATTTAAGTTATCTAGCCCAAGAACTTGGCGCCGTTTTCTGTTGTTGTAAATTCCTGAATGCCAAGAAAACATTTCGACTAGTGCCAAAGGCTTACCTGGATACGCTTGTGAGATTGTCAAACGGCAAACACCATTTCTGTAATGTAACTGGTGATCATTCGAGTTGTCTATAATTCGTCCGTTTTTGGACCATAGAATATTCGGGGGCGGTTCTGATTGTACGATACATTCGAATTTCGCTGCTTGTCCACTGACTACGGCGATATCACGTAAAGGCTGAAAAAGGAAGCAAAATTATTTACATGTATACCTAAATGTAGATAATATAGTATTTGTTATGGTGTTCTAATATGAACCAAATTTAAAATACACCTAGTATTTGAGTAGCATATTGCATCAACAGAAAAAAAATTCTTTATCAAGCAGTATTTGTTATATTTTTTAGATTAATTTAGAGGAAGACTACACTAAAATATCTCTTTTGCAAACGTTACAATCATTGCGTAGAAAATTTTAACAAAATACGGATATTGAACACAGAAAAAACATTATCAAGGAAATTCGCACGATTTTCCTGTTGAAATTATCATTTAGGCACCTCGTATTTTTTTTATAAGCAAAAAACAAATGACGGTTTAAGTGCTGACTGGTATGAATCAATAGTATGTATCTTGATACAATAATTTGTTGTTAACAATATAAAAAATATGTATGCGATCAGTATCTATAGATGATATTTTTTTTATTTAAGTGCATTTTGGTTTTTCCGAATTTGTCGTCATAAGATCTGAAATTTTTCTTTAGAAATTATATTAAATAAACATAATAAAATTTCTGTTTTCGTCACAGACAACATTTCCCATAAATTTGATGCTTAACGTTCTCCAAACTAAATATTTTGAGAAAAATCAAAAGGAAATTCGAAATATTTGTATATTCGAAATATTTGTATAAATAGATTACATTGTACGTAGGATTCGTTGATGTGATATATTTACGACTTTGTTTCTTTACTTACAATGCTTATGCCGTATTATCCCATATTATTAGAACACATTGTAAAATAAAATAAAATAAAATAAAGTTGGTTGGATTACAAGTTGTAAAAGTGTTTCCGTTTCTTTTAAAATATACGGTAACTAAAAATTGCTACAAACCCGGTTATAGAGAGAAAGATAGAAATGTCTAGTGCAAGTTCTTAATAATAAAGAGAGATAAACATTGCATTCTTGCCAAGTTGCTGGAGAACTGAAAAATCTAAAAAAGTAATCTTCCACATATTATATTTTTCAGTAAAATCAATGACACTGATTGTGAGTGGCAAAAACATGATTGTACAATAAATGATATTTTGGACTTAACTGAGGTATGCTTTAATTTGATATTGTTACATCGTTACAGAAGTTTACAATCATTTTTTAATCAGTTCCAATAAATACCCACATGTACGTAAGACCTACTTACCGTTATAAATATTGGCGCTCGGGCTTGTCCAGGTTGAAGAATAACTTTTCCAATAGTACTTCCCGGGGTGCTAGGACAACTGGGAGGAGTTTCAGCACCTTTTCTACCAGGACCTGTTTGATACAGAAATTGATTTTAAAAAATAGCTTTTCATGAACAAAATTTTATTCTTTTAATAGTATTTTGCTTTTTTTAAAAAAAACTCCAAATCATTGTTATAAGGCCTTTAAAGAATAAAGTTTTTGTGTTAAAGTTAAAAGCCAAAAATGTATATTATCCAGAGACCCGTCTACCTACACCACTTAACAATCAGTACTAAAGTGACCAAGGAATCTTTGTTTTTTTTAATATAATAAGAGCAGTCGGAAAATATCATTAATGCTCTTTTGAGACTAAATATGCAATCCCAAAACGTTTGCATCAACCTATATTTTTTACGTAAAATTTCGCGGTTCTGCTTAGTCTAGGCCTGGTGTAACCTTGCAGTAAGATGTCTTTGAAGTTGTCTGTAATGTAAGATCACAAAACGTTTATGCGATAAAACGAAAACAATACTAAGCTCGCAATTTTTTTTCATATTCTGGTTAATCAAACTAGATCTAGTGTTTACATATGTAATACTGATGTTATTTACTTGGTTAATGTAAGTTGATTCAAAATTTATAATTGGTTTTGCATTTCGAACATTCAAATTTGGTGTTTTGGACACCACTCCATATTTTAACCCCAGCGAATGCGGCTCTATGAATGTATCGTTCCAAATATCTTATTTTCCATTAATGAAATAAATATCATAATTAAAAATTACCTCTGGGAAATTGTGAAAGAAGTAATTTTTAGCTATAATTGAAAATTTGTCTAATGCTCGCGCACAGAGATGAAATTTATAACTTTAACTTTTCGTCATTGAAGAATATTAATATACTTACATAACCTGTAGCCAGTTCTATTTTAATAGATTTTAATGACTATTGCATATAAATATAAATAAAGAAAACGATATTAGATTTTCTTATTGTTAAGGCGGTTTTCCACTAAACGGACAAAACAAAAACAAAACACAAACTTGTGTCGAATAAAACAGAACTGTAACTTTTCGCAAACTTTTTGAAGACTGGCGTGTTTTGCGACAGTTGGTAATTTTGATTTTCGGGTCCCGCTCGAAAGCGGTCACATCAAAAGGTTTCCACGTGTTTTGAAATTCGAGTCTGTTTAGTGAAAACGGTCGTGTTGTGTTTTCTATTTAAGTGATCCAACCCAATATCTATGTTGGCGTTTTCTTCTTCCCAAAAACAATATTTTAATCATTAATGAATTATAACTATTAAAAAATATATAATTATGTGTACGGTTAAAGTGTTTACTTGGCTAGGATACAAACTAACCAAGTAAACAGTTTAACCGTACATATACCACGAACTCCATCGATGGATATCTGGGAAACCACTCGAAGGATTTTTTTGAAATTGTGATGGCGTGATACGGACTGTGGAGCCTACCAAGCTAAAATATTTTCAAGGTCATCGTATTTCCAGTTATACCACAAGTTGATACTAACTTTCTTATTTTAAATGGAACCCCCTGTATGTTATTGCAAAAAAAATAGTGGTTTTCATTTAAAAATTTCGAGTTTTCCACATATCTGAACTTCATATTGATATTTTTTTTGATCACCCTGTGTAAAAACTGGAAAATTTTCATGTCAAATTCGATAAAGTAGGTCTTTCTCTACAAAATGTCCAATTTGCACAAAAAAATAAACCGGGAAAACTAAATTTTGCTGACAGTCTGCATCTGTTAATTTTTGTTTAAAAATCGAAATATCTCGGAAACGGTCAATCCTAAGTATGGAGTGTGCTAT